CCTTGTACTCGGCCTTGGTGAGGCTGCAGCTGGAGTACTGCATCCAGTTTTGGGCTCCACAATTCAAAAAGGATGTGGAGAAGCTTGAGAGAGTCCAGAGAAGAGCCACGCACTTGATCCGAGGTCAGGAAAACAGACCATACAATGACAGGCTGAGAGCCATGGGGCTCTTTAGCCTGGAAAAGCGCAGGCTCAAGGGTGATCTGTTGGCTACCTATAAGTTTATCAGGGGTGACCACCAGTATCTGGGGGAACGTTTGTTCACAAGAACGCCCCAAGGGATGACGAAGTCAAATGGTTATAAACTACTGCAAGACCGTTTCAGGCTAGACATAAGGAAGAATTTCTTTACTGTCCAAGCCCCCAAGGTCTGGAATAGCCTGCCATCGGAAGTGGTTCAAGCACCTACATTGACCACCTTCAAGAGAAATTTGGATGCTTATCTTGCTGGGAACCTTTGACCCCAGCTGACTTCCTGCCCCTCAGGCAGGGGGCTGGACTCGATGATCTTCCGAGGCCCCTTCCAGCCTGAATGTTGATGAAATCTGTTCCAGAAGACTACCCGAGCTTGCATGTAGGAGACAGCGAGTAACTAAATAAAAGGTTACATTTTACAAGGGTGATTAATCCTCATCATTTCAAAACATTGACTGATTGACAGGTGCAGTCAGGAGGGAATCCCTCTATTTTAGAGCTGTGCAATTGGCTGGATGCATTTTGCAATGTAAAGAGCCAGAAGATTCACAGACTAATGGTACTGTAGTAAAAATGTGGATTTTGTTCGTTCTTGGAAAAGTGTATTTTTTCACTCTTCCATAACTCATACATATAAATGGGAGAGTGAAACAACATGGTTTTCCAAGAGTGTACAATATACTTTCCATATGCAATTGTATACAATAGTACTTTCCATATATTGTACAGCCTCTTGCTTCTTTACTTTTCGTTCCATCTAGGAAGAGCACGCACCAACTGCTGAACTTCCTCAGCCTGACAAAGGGTTTTTGAACCCGAAAGCTTGCTTAAAAATTGTTTTCCAACTATTTAAGCTGGTCTAGTAAAAGATATCAGATTCACCCAAAGAACCTTGTCTGCTGATATACTTTCCAAAAGTAAACACAATCTCCATTTTCTTTCAACAAAGAACAACAGCAAAAATGGCTAATTCTGGAAACAACTGTGGCCATGGTCAAAGAGAAATATTTTTCAAAAGTGCCTAGGTCACGTTTTCCAAAATAACCAAGTCTCTTGAAGCCAGCCTAGTCAATACATTTAGACACCTAGACTTGTAGATGGGCACTAAATGGCACTTTAAAAATACACTTGCTCCCCAGATCCTCCTAGGTATTATTTATTATTCTATTTTATTATTCTATTTGGCGAACAAGGTTCTTTAGGTGAATCTGATATCCTTTATTAGACCAACTATTTAATAGTTGGAAACTATTTAAGTTGGTCTAATAAAAGATATCAGAATCATGCAAAGAACCTGGTCTGCCTATGTTCGTAGACCAACATGGCTACAACCTACACCCTTATTCTACTTAAGCACTTACCACTCCTTGATTTCAGCGGATCTTAGGGGTCCAAACAGTCGGAAGATCTGGGTTGAGTCATCTGACTTCCATTGACACTAATGTGTTTTTTGGGTGGTGGTTTTTTTAATTTCCACTTGGCATCTATGTGGATCTTTATGTCTTTACAAATCTAGTTCTGAAGGGTAGTAGTGAGACTCCGGCTTCAAATTTTTAAGGCAAGGGGGCACATAACCGGAGAAAATTATTCTCTTAAATGCACAGGTGACTTGAAAAACAGATCACAGGATTCCCCATCTGCCCCAAGCCTTCTGTGCTGGGATCCTACAGCAATACAAGCTCATTGTCCCACCCCAAGTACCTGTGAAGAATGGAGATAACACCTTTTCCCAAGGCAGTTGGGGCTAATTGAATTAATTGCCATTAAGGCTGCATGCCTTAAGGACTGAGCCTGCTGCCTGTTTTTATGCAGAGTTAAAGCCTGGGCCAATCAGCTCCAAGATAAACTGGTCTCCATTTTTAGCCTAAGGTTCCTAAGTCACTTCAACACTTACAACATTGTTTCCAGTGATCTTTTGAAAGGCACAAATAGTCCTTAGCTGCACAACTCCTGTTGATTTTCATAGTGGTTTTGCTACTTTGTCCCTCAGAAAAATCCCCTCCCCAAGCAGTCCTCAAGTCCAAAAATTACGAAAAGGGATTTGAGGCCCTATTCCTTTGCAGAAGTTTCTAAGCCCACTGATGTGCCTACTGTAAACTACGTCTGTTATCTCATCACAGAATTGGGGCCCATGTTGGTTACTTGAGTTTTGAAAGATTATAGTAGAAACTACCCAGTACTTCCGAAAATCTGTGAGATCTAAGGAAGAACGTCTTGCATCCAAAAGTTTGTCTAACTTTATCCCAACTACGTAGTTTGACCAATGGAAGATATCACCCAAAGAAAACCTTGCCTCTTGCATAATTTCTGGACTATCAGGGTTACAAAAATCACTCTTACCCTACTTTGAAAATCAGTTTATTTATTGAGGTGCCAAATATGGATGTAGGAATCAAACTTTGTGAAAATCTTGACCAACAAATACTAGATATCACCTTTGCCTAGGTTACTGGGTTGCCAGCTCTTACTGTTTTATCCTAGGATCACAAAATATTGATCATGCCTTTTAATTCCTGCCCCTGGAAACAAAGGATTACTTGAGAATCTCATCTTTCATTTTTAAAAAGAAGTTTCTAGTTCTAGTGTTATAAAAGACTAAAAATATTAACTGATTGTACCTTAACATGTAGAAATCAAAATGAGAAGGAAAAAAAAGAGCCCCAAATAGTTTTACAACATTTTTAGCTACTCTTATGGTATTTTGGGTCTTGAATGATGATTTTTGCTTGCATAGGATTGGCAAGGCTGTGTTGGAATACAAACCTTTTGAAGCAAATATATACATTTGAAGTCTGCCTTCAAATTATGCTCAAGAGAAAGTTTCCTAAAGGGAAAAGAAATAAAAGACTTGTGCAATTTTATACTTCTCTTTGGGTTTTTGGAGGGTTCTGTTTGCTTATTTTGTTAATATATTTAAATCAAGGCCAACCAACTTTGAAGACAGATAGATAAAATATCTATCTATCTATTTCCTGCACCCCCCATATTTTATCTAATAGGGGTTTTGCTGCCATGGCAGAGCTGTGAGTGTGAAGTGTTATGCAAAAACTTGTATCTCTGCCTGTAGTTGTTACTGTTATATACAGTGACATAACCACACCACCAAAGCACTTCAGCCCCTTGAAGCTAATGCCGACAGCCCCGTGAAGTTCGGCGGTTTTTTAAACTCATGTTTATTCAGACGATCACAAGATGTTTGAGGGTCACACTCATGATTTTTGAAACTCTGGGGTCACCGGTGCTAATGCCTTCACCACCAGGACAGCAAGTCCCAGAAAGTCAGGACAATGCCAGCTAGCAGAGCTTGAGAGGGCATATCTGAGGATCTAAATTTAGCATCTTCCTGACTGCAACTCCAGCTGAGTCACAGGACCTCCTTTGCTTTGTGTCTGTTTCCATCTTGCAATATGGGTAAGGCTCATTAACATCCCTGGTGCCAAAGCTCAGGGTGTGTCAGCTGGAGCAGAGGCAGGTCCATGGACCCTTTCTTCTTTCCAGGCTCTGCCCCAGGGGGCTGGGTCAGACCTTCCTGAGCCATGGGTGTATGTGGGAGGACTTCAAAGTACAAATCCCCACTGGAAGGGAGGAGATAGCAGCAGCTGCGTATTACCCTTCCTCCCCTCATCAGCCCTTACAGAGCCGGTTCCACTTACCAGGGATAGGCGGAGACTGGAAGGTTTTCCTTGGACAACCATGGTGGGCAACGGTGGGATCTTCTCCTCCTCCTCCCAGCTACTATGGAAAATCTTCAAGGGAAAGATACAGGCTCAGATTAGCCTGGGCCTCATTGCAGGGCCAGGATACGAAGCTCCTATGGAGCTGATCTGCCATGCAGTCAGTCACGGGCACAGCCAGGACGCACAAGGCTGGGGTGAGGACAGCTCTGGCCTCCCTGGGAATCTGCCAAGTTTATGGGATGCTCCCACAAGGCACTTCGGTTCAGGACTCATGGTAGAGGAGATACCTCTTATTAGACCAGCTAGATTTTTGCAAAAGTTTCTCGAATTGCAAGCTTTCGGGCACACACACCCTTCATCGGGCATCAGAGAAAAGATTGGAAAAGCTCTGGGTAGAAATGAAAGTTTCATTTCCTGGGTAGAAATGGAAGATCATAATCCCACAAGACACTTCAGAGGGTCAAAGCCCAGGCCCCAGGTGGTAAGTAGGGTGGTGTGGGTGGGTCTGGGTGGGTTGGTAGGTGTGGGTATGGGGGGTGGGCATGTGCGTAGGGGTGTGGGTGGATGGGGGGATGCAGGTATGGGTGCATGTGGGTGTGGATGGGTGTAGCTGTGTACTCCCATTAATTACAGAAATCCAGCCCATCGTAGCTAATGATCCCAACTCCCTTTCTCCCGCAAGTCGGATCATCTCTGGAGCCCAACAGGCAGCTCGCACATGTCAAGCGAGCAGGATTTGGCCTTGTTCCCTCAAATGACAAGCTGCACTGATGAACCCACAGGGTTGGGAGCAATTCAAAAGGTAAATCCCTTTGCATTCACCCTGAACCTGAGGACTTATATCATACCCCGAATACGGTAAAGAAGTCACAGCACTTTACTGCGGAGGATGCTCCTTCCACCCCTGGCTGCACGTGGACTGGGTGTAAGACCCACTCCCTCCCTGTCCCCACACCGCGCTCGGCCCCTTTAAGAGCCCGCGGCTGTCAGAGGCGGAGGGGGCGGGGTTCTGGCTGCAGGTGGCGCCGGCGGGTGGCTGCACTGCGCCTGCGCCCGCGGCTGGGGTGGGAGGGAGGCTGCGAGGGCGCGCTCTGATTGGCCGCGCCTGCCCCCCTCGCCCCGCCCCGCCCCGCCGCTCACGTGACCCGGCGGCGGCTCCCGGCGCGGTGGACGCTGGAAACAAGATGGCGGCGGAGCTGGTAGAGGCGAAAGTGAGTGAGC